GTCAAGCAATGTGTACAAAATGAGAAAAAAATGCATACACTGGGGTAAATTATGCATATAAATGCATATTTTAGTGAGAATAACATGCAGAAATGCATTATATTAGGGGAAAATACTAGCAAGAATGCAGAGGGGGGAAATGAGAAATGTAGAGAACAGAGATTGACAGATTCGCCAGATAAATGAAAGTCCTTCTTCACACAGCACATAGTTAAACTATCAAACTCTCTCCCACAGGAAGCAGGTATGGCCACCGACTTAGGTGGCTTTAAAAGAGCATTGGGCAAATTCCTGGAGGAGAAAGCAGATGATGGCTACTAGCCATGATGGCTATGCTCTGTCTCCCTAGCTGGAGGGAGCAATGCTTCTGAATACCAATTGCTGGAAACTGCAGGAGGGGAGAGCTGCTCTTGTGCTCAGGTCCGCTTCTGGGTTTCCCCTGGAAGCATCTGGTTGGCCACTGTGATGACAGGATGCTGGAGTAGATGGGCCATTGGCCTGTTCCCAGCAGGCTCTTTTCTGATTCACAGATTCATGGGTTGTGCCAAGTACAAAGATCCCGAAATCAAAACCACTCTAGTTAAGAATAATTTTGTTCAGCTTAACAATACACAAGGTAATGGGTTTTATTTTCCCGCCCTTCCCCCCCCTCTCTCTCTCCACTATGTGGTTAAAATACAGATGTTAAACAGATAGGAGAAGAATTCTGTTCCCCAGTGACACTAGACAGAGGGGTTATAGGCCTTATAAAAGTTTCAACAAGAAACATTATCTTAAAGCTGAGAGCAGCTTTCAAATGATAGGTGGAGAATGTCTTGTCAAGACATTCACCATCTGTACAGGAAGACTGCTGGTGTAGCTGAAATCTTCCTAAATGGTTTTTTTGTGAGATAATACTGTTTAATAATATTTGTGGATATTCTGCTTCCGAGAGCCAAGATGGGCTCCAGCTGCCACAAACCTTGATGGAAGGCCTCCTAGCTCAGAGCTCCTTCCAAAGGCCAAATGGACAGTTTTATCATAGGCTCCTACTGTCCATAGGAGGGTCTAGCGGAGATGGTTCACAATGATTTCAGTCAATATGTACACATACCATCTTGCCTTACCTCTTACTTGGGTTAGTGAGCCAAATCGTGAGCTTGAAAATGTCCATAGGCTCTGGGAAACAGCACAAGAAGCTGTGTATCGACCCTCCAGTTAGAAGTGAAAAATATTCCACTGAGGTTCACTGGTAAATCTTTCCTTTGTCATATTCTGAATAGGACCGTACCATATGCACAGTAAAAAATGGCCAAAATAAAGCAAGGGCTGATCCTTCCTCCCCAAACTAATGCATTGCTCTAGTCTGATGGAGAAGTCCAGTGCTTTTTTCTGGGGGGATGCAGGGGTACGCATACCCCTAAACATTTTGTGATTCTAACAGGATTCTACAACATGGTGAATCATCAGTTCCATTGCTACCCTCGATGGCAGCCTCATTTCCTGTCACGGTCTTTCCTGAGTCTCAAACAGAATGAGAGTACAGTGGTACCTCGGGTTACATATGCTTCAGGTTACATACGCTTCAGGTTACAGACTCTGCTAACCCAGAAATAGTGCTTCAGGTTAAGAACTTTGCTTCAGGATGAGAACAGAAATCATGCTCCGGTGGCGCAGCAGTAGCAGGAGGCCCCATTAGCTAAAGTGGTGCTTCAGGTTAAGAACAGTTTCAGGTTAAGTACGGACATCTGGAACGAATTAATTACTTAACCCGAGGTACCACTGTACCCCTAAATGTTGTGGTTTTTTTAGGGGGGAAAACACTGGAGAAGTTTAACTGGCAAATTTAACTGGCAACATGACAACAGGCCTTTGTAGAATGCTCTCCTCAGGGAAGCTCACCTGGCACTTTCATTACATATCTTTAGGCACCAGGTGCAAATGTCTCTCTTCAACTAGGTCTTGGGCTGACTGAGTAATCTGTGTCCTTTTAAATGTGTCAGGGTGAGTTATTGGTCTTTTTGTTTTTGCTATTATGTATGGATTTTTGTTGTTGTAAACCTTTGGATGAAGAGCTGTATATAAATTTAATAAATACCAGTACAAGATAATAATACCAGATACGGATATACTTCCAAGCTGTATCCCATTGTTGGGTAATTTCCTGATATTAGCAATGATGTTCTGTGGCAACTATTTAACACATCTGGATTATCAAGTGATAACAGCAATTATCACATGTGAGGTTATTGCCCACCCAAAGTTAATTAGCCAGGCAAGGCTGTGAATTGGGATGGGCGAATCTGGACATTTCTCTTTGTTTCTCATTTTTCCAACCTTAGTTCAGTTCTCGGCATTTTAACATTGGTGTGTGAATTTTTCTTTTTTTTTCTTTTTTTTAAAAGTCCTCATGAAATTTCATTGGCATTTGGCTCCAGGTGCTGATCTTTCTTCAGGGTTGGAGCTGGGGGAGGCAAGTAAAAGTATCAAAGATTTCATCAAAGATTTTATTGGGGTAGCTGAAAGTTGGCTCCTATGATTCTAATTCAGAAGAACCTAGGCCACCTCTCACCCCTCTCTCCTTTTGGCAAGGTGTGATACCATAAGGTGTGATACCATTTCTTACTGAGCCCCAGCAGCAGACACAGGTCCTTTTTTCTACTGTTTAATGATGTGTGTGACTTAATAGCGAGATCCAGGCCTTATCTACAAGGTGTGCTTTCCTCCTCCTCTTATTCACATTCTGAACCGGGGTGAAAGGGGTTCCTTGCTTTCATTTTTGCTCTCTTTTGGGTTCTCTGTATACTCTTCTGTATTTATTTTAATGTAGTTTACATGTTGCTTTATATGTAGTTTTGTAATTAAAATAACATCTTTTTAAAAATTCATCAGCATTCTTAGTGCACATTTTTCTCAATGTAAATTTTTAACTGCAATTTCCCCTATCATTTTTGTAATTTTCACTCATTTTGTGCACGATTTGCCCTGGTACATGCATTTTGCTATGAATTGCTTGTCTGGAGAACTGCACTGCACAATGTGGAAAAAAATGATTCCCCCCCCCCCCAGATAACTGTGTTTACCAGTAGTTTGTGTAATGTTTCAAAAAAGGCAAACTGGGTAGGTTCATCTTTAAATGCAAATAGAACCAACTTTCTCCCCCATCTCTCACTGTGTAAGAGTAAAATAGAAACCAGGGCTTCAGCCAAGCAAATGTGTGGCTGACGAAATTTTCACGGAAATCTGCTAGAGTTCTGTTTTGCTGAGTTTTGCAGTTATCAACAAGATGGCTCAGGTTCCTCACAGGTTCACTCATCAGCTTGATGAACATGCAAAAGCTGGAACCAGACCATATTTCCTAGAAATTATTTCTCCTCATAAAATGTGGACGCTTCCAGAATTTCACAAAAATAAATGGGTTAGAAAAAGGCTTCTCAGGCTGTGTAAACACAATACAGTTAAAAGTGCACACACACACCCTTTAAAAAAAAGAATCCTGGGAACTTTTTTAAGGGTGCTGGGAATTATAGCTATGTGAACAATAAACTACAGTTCCCAGTATTCTTAGGAAGGGGGGTATGTACTTTAGGACTGAAAATGCAGTCAATTCATTAATTTGTATTTGCTTTAAGCAGCTTCATGTGAGTGGTTTTTGAACCAAGTTGTACCTGCACTGAAACTTGGGTTTGGTAACTCTGAGGAAATATGGAACACACCTGGTGTGTGTGTGTGTGTGTGTGTGTGTGTGCTGAATTGCATACTCCAAACCAGGATATGAGTTGATGCCAGAAATGGGATATTCTCACACAACGACTGCTTTGACTGAGGCCTAGCAAACTTTTATCTAAACCACCACAAGCCTTTGCCTGTGTGGTTGTTGTGGGTCTGCTTTTACATAAGAAAGACCCAGTGCTTTTTTCTGGGAGGACGCAGGAGTATGCACACCCCTAAACATTTTGTGAATCTAAGTTTGGCCTCATTGAGGGCCAGTATTTCAACATGAGTAGGAAAATGAGAGTACCGCTAAGCTTTTTTTTTTTAAGAAAACAAAGCACCGGGAAGACCTTATACTCTGAAAATGCCCCGCCTTCCCTAAGTACATACAACATCCTGAGCCCAGTTCTGCCTGGCTAAGCAGCTTAACATGGAGCAGAGCTCTCTCCCTCCCTGGCGCAAGCAAAGGTTGCACCCACTTAAATCCCTTACCTTCTGCCAGATGATCTGAACTCAAAAGATCTTCCTGTGCTTAGGAATGCCAGGTATAATATTTTAATTACTCGTTTTTTGCTTTTAAGCATGTTGCAATTTTGCTACACTTACCACCAGGAATCAGACTCTAAAATAACAATGAGGAATTGGCTTAGCCAGAGAGTAGCATTAGCTCAACTCACACTTCAGCTTTTTCAGATGCCTGGTATATACAAAATATATCTGTATATACCAATTACAAAACAAAAACAAAAGGCCAGCATGTCTTAGAAGGCCTTGCACACAGACACCAGCACACATGTGCACACATATTGAGTTTGGTTGTATTTTAAGTATGTTTTGTATCTCTGCTCTGGCAGATGAAGTGTAGGTTATGAATGCTACAGATAAATTGTTGTATATTGAAGCAAGCAGTCACCCCAAATGTAATGTAAAATGGCCCTACTCAGCAAACATTTTTCCATGCGATTGTTCCCATTGTGTGTTCTTCGTATCTTTCTCTGCTCATTCAATTTCATTTCCTTTCATTTGGAAGTCCTGAATTACTGGATATTACTCCTTTCAACAGGAGGTAGTCAAGATCTGATCTGATAGAACAGGGTGGCTCTGGAGATTCCTTTAAAACAGAAGGGTGTCGTCTTTTTGCATGCGCCTTTATAGGAAATGTTACCATTTTCCAAAGTTGAATGTAGGACCTATGCAAACAAATGTTTTATTTTATGTGAAAAATGTGACTTTATACACATACTTTACCCCCTGCCCCATAGCACGTAATCAATATTATAGAAAACAATTATTACTACATACTAAAACAGATTTCAACAGTCTTTTAATTAAGCACAATATATATACACATATAATATATATATCTGTATATACTGTTTATAGATTTGTTCCATAATACTAAGAGGATTGATCAAACACTCAGCTTAACTGCCTAACACTCTGGTAGCTGACTAACAATTGTGACTCCAGTGACATTTTTTCCCTCAAATCTGACAAAAGCTGAAGCAAAATTATGTCTGTAACTTCCTATTAAATATAAGCAAAGTAGGAAAACATCTCTCTCTCTCTTTCTTTCTCTCTCTCTCTCTCTGCCCCCAGAGGTAAAGGTTTTATTGCGTAAAACACTGGTTAAAACTGTACCATTTCAAAGACATTTTTATTCTAACAGCAGAAAGAAAAAACAGTCATTTGCTGGGGGGGAAACAACTTTTAATACTTCTATACCAGAATAAAGTTCTGTCAACTGATGTATTATAATAATAAATAATGACCAAGAATAAACTTTAAATACAAAGGTTTTTTTTCCTAATTGTTACAAGCATAGCAACAAAATCCTCTACTCTATTGATCTCAGATTTTCTCCAAGACAGATTTTTTTTTTCTTCCTTTGCGTAGGAATGTAGACAGTATTTTGACCAATATCACAGACTACAGAAGTTACAGAGAAAAAACTTGACATGTTTAGATATGAGAAGCATGATGATATTCAGAAACTGACAATGTTTCACTGCTCCTGTCACTTGTTTGTATTCCAAGTTACAAATGTTCTGGAAAAAAATGGGGGGGGGAGGCTGATGTCAGAGGCAAAAGATAGGGACAGTAGCACCAGACCAAATGGATTCAACACACACATCACAAAGAACGGGAGAGGAATTTCCAGTGTCACAAACGGAATTATTGCCTGTCGTATCTGAAAATGCTCAGAAGACACAAAAAGAATACTGAAAAGAGCTCCAAAAAAGTGCAAGAAAATGGAATGTGGAATCTTTTTTTTTTTCCTCTTTTTTTTCTCGCTAAGATACGGAAGGCGGCGCAAACACACAAAAGCAAGCGACCGAAACACAGTCACCAAACACGGTAGTGCAGTTAAAATCCTAAAGCTTACTACAGTCAGAAAGTCTTCAATTACATTTCAATCCTTTACCTAGGATCATGAGAAACAGTTGCATTAAGTTTATCAACTTGATTTAAGTAAGGCAGTGAGAACTATACTAGGAAAAAAAAATATCTCCCCAAAAATGAGAAAAGCAGCTTGCCCTCTGCCAGACGGGGGTCTAACTTACACAGCGACCTCAGTTTAACTGAAACTTCACTTGGATGGTATCGTTTTTAATTTTTTTCCTGACAGCGTATGCAAACTGTCTTTCTTATTAGCCTGAGAATCTCTTTCCTTTCTTCCAGTCTCAGGGTAGCGCTACGAATTTTATTTACATTGATTGCAGTTTAGTATTTTTTGTAAACTGCTGTAGGCAGAGCTGAAGTTTTTAAGGCCCTGGGGTTTTTTACTCTGTGCTCCCAGCCTGCAAGGATATATATTGACTTTTTCTTTCTTACTTACATATTTTTTTTAAGTCTGAATGATTTTGTTTTTAGAAGAAGTTAATACTTCTCTATCATCTTAAACAGCACCAATTTTGCTTCTCTCAAAGGAAGTACATGAAAAGGCTAAAATCTTTTGCCACTAAAGTGGGTGTAAGGAGAAGCCATTAACTGGCTTTCTTACATTTATCTTTTTCTTTTCCTCAGTCATGTTTTTCATTATAATCTCTCCAAAGCTTCCTAGGTGGGAAACGACAGGATTAAATTTGGAAGGGGCCAATTAGTAGAAAAGCTAAAATCTGCAAAAATATAGAACACGCTTTTTTTTCCTTACAAAAAAACAAAGAAATATTAGCTAACACATTTTTCGTCCTTCATCTTTTTTCCCCTTTCACTAGAGACAAGGGGCAGGATGTCTGGATTCATATTTTAGGTCAAATTGCTTGAAAAGAGATTTCTCCAGTAAAAAAACAAAATACACTGTCCTGCACAATGTCTGCAACACTTTTTTTTAAAAAAAGAATAATAACAACAGCACCCTAATAAACGAAAACTAATCTTGCCTGGGGAATCTTTCATTCAAGTCTTTCCCCCCCTTTCTAAAAAAAAAAACAACAGAAAAGAAAAGAAACCAACTTTCTATTGAATAATAATTATTTCTCCTTTTTTTGCACTGGTATCATCTCTAGACAAGGCTAACTAGTTTCTCTATCCAGCACGCTCCTTCAGTATTGTATTTCTAAATCTCTCTATAGCAACCTACTTCATTAAAAAGGAACAAAATAGGAAGGGGGGGGGGGACAACATTTCTCTCAATACTGCAAGTCCATCTAAAAAAAAGAAGAAAAATACTGTCCCCCCGAAAAACCACATTGTACAATTAACTGCAGTGTTTTGCTGGCCTGCAGATCCCCCCTTTCTGCTCTAATCCTTGACTCATTTGGCCGTCTCTCTCTCTGTGTGTGTGTGTCTTTCGCTATATATAATATCTATATCTATATCTATATATATATATTTCAGAAATTAAAATGTTAACAGCACAATCCTTTTCAATACAGGTCAGCACTGACTGTAGCTTACGGGGCGTCTAAAATTTCTCTGAGAGTGCAGAGTTGGAGCACCACTTGGATTGATTTTCTCAGCAGGGACAGCTCCAGTCAGCCTGGCACCACCTCACTCCACCAACACGTCTCATTACGACGCTAGGCAAATGGCAGCGGTCGGTGTCATATTAAAAAGGTGTTTTCAACAATGAAAACACAGGAACACCCCCCCCCCACACACACACTTCCCCACTCCCACAATCTTCAAGGCAACATTAAATCAGGAAGATGGTATCACAGATATAGATATATAGATAGATATTCTGGTAAGAGCATTCTTTCTGGATAAAGACCACTTTAGTGTTAGAAATGCGCCCTTTATTTCAGTATTTTTCACACACACACACACAAACACAGATATCTTGCAACCTGCACACATTTGGGGGAAGAAGAAGAAAAAACAACACCCACTTGATTTATCTCCACCTACATTGTTTGGAAGTACTTGTTGCCAGGTAACAGTTTAACAGCCATTTTCAAGGGCTGGTTGTTGTTTTTCCCCTCTTTCTCTTTTTAATGTGTGTGTGTGTGTGTGTGTGTGTGTGTGTGTGTCTTTAATGTCTTAAACATCCTGCACGCTTCTGGGAATTTGCACACAATCTGTTTTCCTCAGAAGGCAGTTAAGCAAACTCTCTGTGTTACCCGAAATGCATATCTAAAAAACTGTGTAAAATAATATTGCAATATACAGATTGATTTGTTCTGCGGCATTACTCCTGGGCCTGGCTGCCCTCCTCCGTTAACTCTGTCGAGCTCTCAGGTTTGACAGCTCCAGGTTCCTCAGAATTCCCAGAAGCTTCGGCGTCAACTCTGGAGCGCTTGAACCTGCGGTCTGGATACTGGCTGTTGTCAAAAGGCATGCGATGGACACAAAGGACGTGGGTCTTCAGATTTCCCTTCTGAGAGGCACTGTAGGGGCAGTATCTGCACTGGAAAGGCCGGTGACCTGTGCAACAGACAAACATTGGGTTAGCATTTCCTCAGGCCTGCAGGGGTTCCCCACCACCCAGCCTCTGTAGTGCAGTTCACAGAATGGAATAATGTAAAAACACAAGTCTCCCCTTCTCTTATATGTGGACTGAATCATACAGCCCCTTTCTGATTACACCCTATACATTTAAAGCTCTGCCCGACCACCAGTTTGTTGAGGGTGCCTGGAACTGTACAGTGGTACCTCGGGTTAAGTACTTAAATTGTTCCGGAGGTCCGTACTTAACCTGAAACTGTTCTTAACCTGAAGCACCACTTTAGCTAATGGGGCCTCCTGCTGCTGCCACGTCGCTGGAGCACAATTTCTGTTCTCATCCTGAAGCAAAGTTCTTAACCTGAAGCACTATATCTGGCTTAGCGGAGTCTGTAACCTGAAGCGTATGTAACCTGAAGCATATGTAACCCAAGTTACCACTGTAGTTCTGTGAGGGGTACCCAAGATTCTTGGTTGAGGGAGTGTTTAAATGTATGGTGCGTACGCAAGCCCACAGTCTTCTCACAGGTACTGCCGTGCCTCAGTATCCCAGGACGTGAAATTTACAGGATTTAATTGGCCAGACACAGTGCCTCTCTGGCTCTGCTATTTTCAAAACAGACTGGGCAAATTTCACACTAATTGTGCCTCCTCCCACACATCTTGAGATTCAGGATACACAGCGTTCCCTGCCATGACTTTAGCACCTTAGAAAGTCACCTGTGGATCAGTGCTAGGATATAGGGGTCAAAAATACATTCTGTCAGTGGTGTGCAGTGAAATTTTTCATAGTGGAACAGTTAGGGGCAGAGGCACTAGCTTGTGAGGGGGGGGGTCGATATTATCCGTGTGGTGTTGTGACATCATGACGTCTTGCACGTGAGCATTGAGCATTGCGCCTCCCTCCCTAAGCTGGGTAGAAACTTCCTGTGCTTTGTGAAAGAGGTGGCAGGGGAACATTTAGGGGACTAGCTGAGTCCCCTCAGTCCAATGTCCACACGCCACTGCATACTATTTGATTTTTTTTAATAAAAAAAAGCAACAGCCAATCCCCAGTATCTTGTAAATATGTAACTTTGTAAATAATACTGAAACGACACGTACAATTGAATGTCATTTTGCAGCCTATTTCAATAAACTAGTTTTATGGAATTTTAATGCCATGGCACACATTTAATTTGAATTCGATTTTCTTTTTTCTTCAAGTGGAAGAGGGACACTCAGGTATTCAATTGTTAGAGAAGAACAGAAACAAGAAGGGATGTTACAGAGGTGGAGTTAATATTTTTTAGTTTAGGTGAAAGGCAGGTAAGATGCGACACGATAGACGTTTGATGCATAGCACGATGCATAGCACGGAGAGAGTGGATGGAGAAAAGTTCTTCTCCCTCTCTCCTAACACTAGAACTTTGTGGACACCCATTGAAGCTCAATGTTGGTGGCTTAAGAAAGAAGTCCTTGGGTCAACTGTGGAATTCGTTCCTACCGTAGGCTGCTCAGGACAGGTAAAATATAGTACTTCTTCACGTAGCACATAGTTAAACTAATAATTCCCCCTCACACGAGGCAGTGGTGGCCATCAACCTTGATGGCTTTAAAAGAGCATTGGACTAATTCATGGAGAAGAGGGCTATCAGTGGCTTCTAGCCCCAATGGCTATGTTCTACAGTGGTACCCCGCAAGACAAACGCCTCGCAAGACGGAAAACCCGCTAGACGAAAGGGTTTTCCGTTTTGGAGGCGCTTCGCAAAATGAATTTCCCTATGGGCTTGCTTCGCAAGACGAAAGCCCATAGGGAAATCTCCAGGGACCTCTTTTAAATGCTAGCGGTGGGGAGCAAAGCCTTTCCCCCCCCCTCCGGCCTTCAGAAGAGGTCCAGGAAGGCTGGCGGGGGCCGAAAGGCTTTGCTCCCCACCGCCAGCATTTTAAAAGCAGTCCGGGATAGCAGGGAAGCGCTTCCCGCTATCCCGGACGGCTTTTGAAGGCAGGAAAGGTCCGTGAAGCCTGGGCGCACTGATCTCAGCGCGCGCAGGCTTCGGCATGCCGGCAACTCTCCGCAAGCAGCGGCAGCGCTGCCGCTGCTTGCGGAGAGGTCTGCGAAGCCTTGGCTGGACAGCTTTTGAAGGTAGGCGGGGGGGAGCAAAGACTTTCGCCCCCGCCAGCCTTCAGAAGAGGTCCTGGACCTCTTCTGAAGGAGGGCGGGGGGCAAATGTCTTTGTCCCCCCTGCCTGCCTTCCCGGGAGAGCGGAGAAACGCAGCGCGTTTCTCCGCTCTCCCGGGAGGGCTTTTAAAGGCAGGCAGTGGGGACAAAGACTTTGCCCCCGCCAGCCTTCAGAAGAGGTCCAGGACCTCTTCTGAAGGCTGGCGGGGGGCAAAAGTCTTTGTCCCCACTGCCTGCCTTCCCAGGGGCTTTTAAATCACCCCGGACAGCGGAGAAGTCCTCCGCTGTCCCGGGGCGATTTTAAAATGCCGCCCGCCAGCATTTTAAGATCGCCCCGGACAGCGGAGAAGCCCTCCGCTGTCCCGGGGTTTTTTAAAATGCTGGGGGTGGGAAGAAAAGCCCTTGCCCCCCCCCAGCCTTCAGAAGAGGTCGGGGGACAGACTGTCCCCGGACCTGGTCTGAAGTCGGTTTCCCTAGGAACGCATTAATTGATTTTCAATGCATTCCTATGGGAAACCGTGCATCGCAAGACGAAAAACTCGCAAGAAGAAAAAACTTGCGGAACGAATTAATTTCGTCTTGCGAGGCACCACTGTATTTCCACAGTTGGAGGCAGCAATGCTTCTGAGTGCCATTTGCTGGAAACCGCAGGAGGGGAGAAGGCTCCTGTGTGTTTGGGTCCTACTTGAGGGCCTCCCATTGCAGTATCTGATTGGCCGCTGTGAGAACAAGAGTCTGGAATAGATAGGCCATTGACCTGGTCTAGCAGGCTCTCCTTCCAGTCTCGGGTTCTGTTCTGTTCTCACAAGGTTCTGTGCAGCTAAAGGAAGCAAGTGGGGGCTCACCCTTCTCGCGCTGCGTTTGTGCCCGGCCTTGCATACACCAAATTGTATACACCAGATTATTCTGAGCCAGCCTGAGACTTCATGCTGCATCTGGCTTGGAAGGTTATGTTGCCGCAATCACATTTCAACCTATGCTGGGAAGTTGTTGATGTGTCTTACTGGAACTTTATGAGCTTTGTCTCTCAAATTAACTTAGACCAGGGCCATCTGAGGTCAAATGCACTTAGCTTACTTTAATTTGCTGAAATAAATGAATAAATAAATGGGCCTGACCATCTGCATAAAAAGCTAAGGCTATTGGAAGACATGACCTAATAATCACATATGAAGAACAACGTTAGCCCCCTCCTTTCCCCCCCTGTCTGATCCCCCCCCCTTTCTGTTACACACATGCACAGAGGATGCAGACATGTTGCAGAGGCAGAACTGACCAAATGATTCGGACTCATTAGACATGATCCAGATGGGCACATATGGAACTTCTTCTCTGCCATCCATCAAATAATGCATTTTGCTTAATTCCATTTAAATCTATAGGTTTAAATGCTATTGGTGGATTGTATCCAATGTTGGTCCTATTCAAAATGGAACCGTTTACATGAATGGCCATGACTAACTCAGGTACATTAAATTGATCTACTCTGAGTAGAACCTAGTTAAATACGCCACTGTCCCTAGATTCTGACCAATGTGTGTTGGATTGTCTGTGCAAAACACATTCTACCCCTCACATCTGAGGGCAGAATATGTGGCACAGCATTTGCACACATTAGGTCAAACTCCTGTCTGCTGAAAGGTACATGCCAATAAATCATTATTGACCCCCTTTCCAAGTGAAAACCTGTCTGTTTTTCCATCTAGTGCTACTCAAAAGTTATGATGATGAAGGAAGAAGAAGGAAAAGTTTACTCTAACTGTGAAGTGTCAGTTTACACACCCAAAGGAAAAGTACTGGGGAAAGCAGAGACCAAAATTATAAACAGGAGGTAGGTACAGCTCTGGAATTTTCAGCAGAAGGGTTTTAAAAAGCCATTAATGGAGAAATTGCACTTTAGAGTCTAAGGCTTAATCTGCTTATTACCTCACAGACCCATATAATCTATGTTGTAATGTGCTAAGGGATTATACTGCGGCAACAATGAAACCTCTGGCACCCATTGGCTGAGCTGAAGTGATGCCATGGGATGTCCACGAACATCCTATTTGCTGAGGGAAGTTGTCAGCAGTAGAAGGCTCAGTGGGCTGAAAAGAAAGATAAGTTTGCTGAGGAAAACCCTCGCCGTCAGATTCCAGGGCAAGTGGAAGTATATGGAGCCAGGTGGCAAGTGTGAAACCTCAAAGCTTAGTAGGATGAGATACTAGGAGCATGGAGATAAAGGCCCCAGTGAGCTGAACCAGGGGACAAAGCAGGGAGCAGATGGAAAAACAAGAGCCAAAAGAAAGGGCAAGTAGGGGAGACAGAAAAATAAGTCAAGGGAGCATATTCTAGTTGTTTGTCACTCATAACTTCTACATCAGGCACCCTTTAAGGGCTAAGTTAAGATTTTCCATGTTCAGAAATATGAAAACAATATTGATGCACAGTTCCCTGTCATCTGCAGATTGGAGCCTTTGGCAGATCTGTTGATTTCAAAGTCCCCATTTATAATTGTTTCCAATCTTCAACTGTGTTTGCTGTATTTTCCAAATAATTTGCATTATTTGTCCTCAATATATACAGATTTCTGCGTGCAATTTCCCCTAATATAATGCATTCTGGTATGCTGTTTTCCCTAACTTTAGCATTTCATACACACTTTCCTCAAATGCAAGCACGCCTATCATAAATATGTCAGCCTATCACTGAAACAGAACTTAAGAGATGGAATACGACAAGCAGTTTCTATATTTTGAGTGTATAAATGGGTTTAAAACTTTGAAGTAACATACTATTGGGAATTGGTCTCATCAGATTTCTTAATGAGGCATCACAGTCA